ATTATTTGTTGGCTACAACTACCACTTCCGTATGGTGACAGACGATGTTACCGTCAGCTCCATCTCCTCCCTCAATATTTGTGCCAACCCAACGAGCCCTCGTTACAGAGGTATCAACCTTGAATGCATTTTGCTTGACAGCAAGATTGCACAGGAGTGTGATACCGGCGCCCTTATAGACGACGATGGAACGTTGCGTGCATTTTGGTTGACCTACTTGGGTGAACAGACAGAGGGTATTTCCGATGTCATGTTCCGTATGGCTTTGGATGTCACAGATGTTGCCCAGATCCTCAACGGTTTGAAGAATAACGAAATTCCACAACACTTGCGCATATTGGACGCTGAGCTCACGCCGCTTACGGTATTCCTGGGACGTACTCGTGGTGTGCCTCAAGAATGGATTACCCGTTTTGAGGAAGAGTGTGAAGATGAGGTCAAGTTCTTGTCGGTCTACAGAGTCAGTGCTCCTTCTGATGAGAGTCGTCCTTGCCCACTCGAGACCTCTGATATCATTCTCACAGTGAACGACAAGCTTGTGAAGAGTGCCAGAGATCTCAGTGACATGTACACCAACGAAATACTCAATTTCAAGGTGGTTCGTCACAAGAAGGTCCAGGACATTGCTGTTCCTACTATCGACACCAACGCCATTAATACCGATAGAGTGTTCTTCTGGTGTGGTGCAGTCATTCAAGAACCTCACCATGCTGTTCGTCAGCTCATGGAGACCATTCCATCCAAGATCTACGTTGCTAGAAAGCATGCTGGTGGCCCTATGGCCCAATATGGAATCTCGACCAGTGTCTTCATCACACACGTGAACGACCAAGAGACGAAGGATTTGGAGAGTTTCGTCAAGCTTGTCACGGCAATCCCAGATAACACCTACGTGAAATTGCGTCTTGTATCGTTTGACCATGTTCCTGGCGCGGTGTCTATCAAGACGAACTACCACTACTTCCCAACCCAGGAAATCAGAAAAGACATCGAGTCTGGTGAATGGAAAGATGTCGAGCACAAATAGATTCAATAGAATCCCTTGCATTGCTATTTACATGCCATTATTGTAATATATCTAGTTCTTAGACCTCGAGGTACTTCTGTAGTTTCTTCAAGTGGCCACCTTTCTTGGGCACCATTTGCCACTTGTTCAAGTGGTTATAACTGTTTGGGGTGAAACCTGAGTTTCCGTGGTTTCTGCCATCACACTTTCTCTTGTAGCCGTTGGCGGTCTTGATGAACCTCTTGGCTGCAGACTTGTGGGACTTCATTTTGGTTCTCGTTTGTATCAAGGTATTGAGAACCGGCCTCTGACCAAATATGAGGCTCTTGGCGGTATTGAAAATGTTCATTTGTGTGTTTCAACCAAGTCCTGAGTTGGTGATAATTGGATCAGTAGAAAATCTTGCAACTACAAGAGTGCGCGGTCCTCGCACTACCACCTAGACACTTTATCATCAGACATAAGATATTCTAATATTAATTCGATTTTTACTCTTCGAGTCCCAATTGCTCAAACGTTTCAGCAAAGTAGCGAGGCTCGTCAAAGACGTGGTATCTATGGCCTCTGACTCCATCACCTCTGAACAAGGAAGGCATCCGGAGGCTTGGATCCACCTGCTCTTCGCTGATGAAGTTGTTGCCGTAGATGAAGTCCTGGCCAATCAGTCTCTGGTCGTCATTGAGGAACTTGAACTTGGCAATCTGAAGCTCGGTGTCGGTGATGGTCGATCTCGAGATTCTAGCGTAGGCAACCTTCTTAAGCTCACGGAACATGATGTACTCGCACCATCTGTCCCAGTCAGTGGAGTCAATGTCGTGCATTCTTGACTTTTCACTTGAGTAGGTGAAGTAGTTGCCCTCCAATGGCCTGGTCACCAAATAACTGAGGAGCACCAAGGGGTTCTGGGACTCGGCCATGACGTTCTCAAGATACAAGCTCTGTAGACGACGGTCCTCTGGGTCCTCTTCCTGGCCAGAGTGGAAAACAACAACATCAATGTGCTCGCCGTAAATGTCCAACGTAGCCTTGATGGCAGGAGCCAATTCACCAACTGGAGAAGGCAACAAGTGGTGCTCCGAGTGGAGAATAGGGAACTTAGAAAGCAAGGCAGCTCCCCAAGTGTGCTTATTGGGGCCGGGACCGTAGTCAACGTACATTCCCAATTCCTCGCCCATTCTCTGGGCAAAGTCTCTGTTACCACCAATAAGACGCTCAGTATCAGTCTCCAATAAACCAATGATGTCAACCTCTGCCTCTCTAAGCAAGTTGCTCATACGAATTTCACTGGCCCAGAGATCGTTATCCAAACCGAAGTGGACGCACCAGATACCGGCAGTGAAGGATCTAGTCTCTGGCTTGTATGGTTGAGGAGCGACGGACTGGTATCTAGCGGTAAAACCAGTGGTAGTGATGGCGACCAAAACGGTGATGATGAACAAAGCCTGGCGCCAAATCTTGGAGCCAACCACCTCAATGCGTGTGATCTTGGAAGCGGTCTTGCGAAGAACAAAGTTCACCACACCAAGAACGACACTTCCAATCGTGACAGCCACCATCAAGTCGGTACGCTCTCTCAAAGCTGGTCCACCTGGAACGAAAGCATATGCGACGATCCAAACAGACGCCAAGCAGAGGAGAATGTGAACGAGGAACGCCACAATGACCAACTTGATAGGACAGTATCCCACCAACGATTGAGCGATGGTTGGGGTGATGGAAGCAATGAAGAATGTGTACACAGTTGCACCGGCAAATCCAATCCAGTCCTGATAAAGGCTGAGTGCAACACCAGCACCAATGGCGCCCACAATTGGGAAGACAGGTTGAGTCAACAAGTTGGGGTGGATTTTGAGGGAGGTAATGACACCAGCGATAGCGGCAGCGAAGTGGATCAAACCGCCGATCAAGGGGGTTGGTCCTTTCACTGGGAAACCTGTCCACGACCAGATCACGAAGATCGACGAGTCTGACAAGAACAAAGTAAGCGAGAAGAAGTAGCCTGCCAAACCCAATGCTGAAAGCAAGAATGAGCCTCCCTCAAGCTTCAAGGAGTGTGTTTCAGGCAACTTCTTTGGTGCACGTGTGAACAAGGCCGCCAAAATGGTCACAAAGAAAGCAATCTCGTTGTAACCGCCGTTCTCCTTGTGCATGATAGGCCAAGCTGGGTTGTTCGATGAGAAAACGTACTTAATTGCAGACGAAAGCAAAACACCCAAAAACAAGGAAACAAAGTATGAGGTGTATCTCACGGCATTGTTTTGTAAGTTGAACAAGTCGGTGGTGAAGCCAATGGCAGAAAATCCCACACCTGCGCTCACAGTCATAAGACGGTTGGCTGGGTCCGACACCTTCCATGCACCCACGGTGGTGATTGCCGCCAAAACTCTAGGAATGAATGGATAAGCGCAGAAAAGGCGACGAAGTGGTAGAACGAAAATAGGACCAACGAACATCACCACAATGACAGCTTCGTAACCAGACACACCCATGTGCCACAAGGGGAAGTACCACACACAAGCAAACATGCCGGTGATACTGGTCATGAAAGTGAACGAATTGATGGTGTTGATGACGAAGGAGAAGCAGCTGATCTCCGAATCGTCTGTGCTGACGGGCTCGCTCTTCTTGACGATTTCAGGAGTTGCAAACTCAACAGAGGAGCCGTAGACTCTAAGCTCAAGGTTGGAAAGATCGAGATAAGACCAAGAGTCAAATCCAACATCCAAGAAGATCAAGGACCACTCGATGTAGGCGTAGTAGGAGTACGCACCAGCGATAACATGCACCTTGTGTTGAATAAAGAAGTACACCAAAGGCACAAGCAGGCCAAAGAAAGTCAATGCAGTGAAAATACGGCCCTTCTTTACGGTGCTGCCTTTAGGACTCAATGAAGACATACACACTGTCCATGGAATGGTGAGCACAATGTAACTGATCATGAACACATCGTGGGCATCGTGGTCGTCAGTGGACGTGATGTACACCCAGCCACCACAAGTAAAAGTTCTCAAAAGTCCCGAAATCAATGCCGTCCAGGCCTTCTTGCGTCCTTCGTTGTACAAGACGAAGAAGTTGGCAAAGATTAGAAGAAACCGTGGCCCCGAAGTAACGGCAATGAAAATCTGGAAAACAGATCTTTCTGGGTATCTGTCACCAATAGTTGCCAGCACAGAAGGAAACCACTCATCAGGATAGCCGTAGCTGGCATTCTGGACGATTTTTTCATAATGGAGATAGCATCCGACAATAAGAGCACCTACGAAAGCCGTCAAAGCGAAAAAGCCATGGGCGATGGCGATCCACTTGGCATTGAGCCGGAGGTACGGACCTTCAGGCGTCTTAGCAGCAACGCCAGCAGGCGGGGCAGCTTTTTCTCCCATTATTGAAGATGTAAGGCTGGTGATGGAGAAACTCTGGGGTTGTAGTGGGCTGTAGTTGGTGCACGGGTGCACTATCTGGTGATTCTCGGCACCAGACCGGAGATAGAAGGTTTTGGTGATATCGTGGCGGTGTGTGGGGATCTGGTGAGTCTTTGTTTTGGAGGTATTTTTATTTTAGAAATTTGGGGGAATTTGATTGTTGATGGTGATGGAAGGGTTTTCTCAATGGCTGCAACTTTTGCTGAGTGGTTGAGGTTTAGGCCCCAAGGCTAAGGCGACCATTGGATAATAGTAACTTTTTCGAAATTAACAGGCTTGAATTTTCTGAAGATGCTTCAAATTTTGGCAATTTGGAGTTGCTTTAACCTCAGACACTGCACTCACTTCTCGCATACTTACCAGTAGATACTGACTCTGATATCACACAACGGTCCAGGAAGAGCAAAAATAGTAAAAAACGTCCAAATGTACCCTAATAAAACTGGGCCCAACCCATATTCTCTAAAACTGCCCCACCTTATCGTCCCCCAGTAGATCCATCAGGTAGTGCGCGGCCCGAAATGCACCCACCAGTTAAAATCAATCTTTTCGTAAACCTACCTATCACCTCCACCATGGGTATGTACCACCACCACAAAAAATGAAAGAAAACAACTAACATATAGCCACGTACGAACAACACGCGAGACCAGAGTTGGTGTCTTTTGACGACATCAACTACGAGAACTACGCCGAGGTCCAGAAGGCCAGAACTTCTATGATGAGAGAACAGTGGATCAGAAATGAGGAGCTCAGAATCACCCACGAGGCATTGAGAAGGTGTAAGCAGTACCACGGCATCGATGCCCAGAGAAACTGCAGACCTTTGATCTTGAAGTACATGAAGATGATTGAAAACTACCCCTTGCAGGGCTACTTGGGGTACCAGAAGAACGACCCATCGCAGTAAGCGACTCCCCAGGGTTTTGTATTTTAGATGCCCTACAGCATAACACAGCATGATTATTGGATACATTGTAGGGTGGCCAGGTTGGCACTATTGTAGATACGCAGCGGAACTGTGCTTCTGGAGCCGGGCATGAATCAGGATCTGATCATATTGGGCTGATTATCAGTGGACCGCTATGAGAAATCATCGAGAAGGTCCGATGTCCCAAATGTTGGGGCTAATTCTCCATTCTGATGGAGAGACTGCTTTCTGATAGAGAAACGCGATAGCATTCTACATGTTTCAGATGCTTGAATGGTAGATGGAGTCTGTCTTGGAAGATACGATACCAAAGCTCTTCAAAGTCATTGAAATATTCGAAGTCATTGAAGTTCATCAACCCTTGGCTTTATTCGGTCCATGGATGCTATTTAGAGTCCCTCAACGGAAGATACTGTTGAACGTACATCCTCTCAGGACTTTCATTAGCGGTAGTGAAGACAATATCCAATATGAGTTTAAATATCATCAAAAAACAGAACATTCAATGCAATTGAAAAACTACCAAGACTGAAGGCGCTTTGGTCCCTTATCTTCCTAACCTCAACCATTTTGCAGCCACTGCTTCAATGGTCCACCCCAGAGCTGTAGAAAATTTCAATTTGCTAGCCAATTTCGAGCCACAATGCTCATTCAATTCATCCTAAATAATCGCCCTGGACTTCATACCACGGTAGTCCCTATTTTTCACTCCACACCCTCCATTGCCTAGCCTATAGCGTCCTATTTCGCAGTCAGTATAGCTGAACAACCCCACGCTAAAACCACCAAAACTTCCTCAAATCCCACCAAATTTCACATACCCACTCAATTCAGCCTCAAAAATCCAATTCCACCCACCGTTTCCCCATCCAAACCCTCCAACACCCATTTCACGGAATTTCCGCTGCACATCACGTGCCTAGTACCGACCGCGCTCTATAGCCCCCACGAGCCAATCATATCCAGTCCTCGCACCAGTCCGGGTGCCGAACGACCTCAGAAAAAAAACCACCTACAACTCACCATCTACTTGTCCCGTGCTATACTCATCCACAATGTTCCGTCTCGGCACTGCCCAGGTCGCCCGCTCAGGGGTGAGGTATGTTTTACGATGCCATTGGTTGAAAAGCGGCGTTTCTACGACGCCGGCAACCCCACGATCACCGTCAATTGAGTACTAACCGTTCAGAAACTACGCTACTTTGAGAGACATTGAGATGCGTCTTAAGTCGATTAAGAACATCGAGAAGATCACCAACACCATGAAGATCGTTGCTTCCACCAGATTGAACAAGGCCCAGAGAGCCATGCAGGCGTCCAGAGTGTTCAACGAGTCTGACGCTGAGTTCTACAAGAACACCGAGCCAGAGACCTCCAAGGAGGACAAGACCTTGTTGGTCGTTGTTTCTTCCGACAAGGGTTTGTGTGGTTCCATCCACACTCAGATCTCCAAGGCTGCCAGAAGAAGAATTGAGGAGTTGAACGGCAACGCTGACATTGTCGCCATTGGTGACAAGGTCAAGGCTCAGTTGTCCAGAACCCACGCCGACAAGTTGACTTTGGCCTTCTCCGGTGTTGGTAAGGAGGAGCCAACTTTCCACGAGGCTTCCGCCATTGCCGACGAGATCGCTACTTTGGGTAAGTACGAGAACACTGAGATCATGTACAACAAGTTCGTGTCCGGTGTCTCTTTCGAGCCATCCACTTTCACCGTTTTCACCGCCGACGCTATCGAAAAGGCTCCTGGCTTGAGCAAGTACGAGTTGGAGACTGAAAACACATCTGAGGACTTTGCCGAATTCTCCTTGGCTAACTCCATCTTGACCGCCCAGGCTGAGGGTCACGCTTCCGAGATTTCTGCTAGAAGAAACGCTATGGACAATGCCTCCAAGAACGCCGGTGACATGATCAACTCCTACTCCATCTTGTACAACAGAACCAGACAGGCTGTTATTACTAACGAATTGGTGGATATCATTACTGGTGCTTCTTCTTTGGACTAAGCAGTTTATTCACTTACCTCACACTCCATTTCTTCTAGAAATACTAAAACGAACGAATACACGTTGATGCATTGTTTGATTGTAGTCTATATATTAGGGTCTAATCCACCTTGATTGCTCCGTAGATCTTTCTGATAAATACTGTTGCCGTGACAACACCCACGGCTCCTCCAGCCACGCCGACAGCCGCCGACACCATCGCCATATAGGCGAAATAGATAAGCACGCTCACGATATCACTCATTTGAAGATAGCGAACGAAATAGTATGTGGTGTACCCATAAATGTACCATCCAATGCTAGAGCCCACTTGGAAACAGAGCCATTGCCAATTGGGGTTTTTGAAAGCAGTCAAGGTGATATAGGTAGCCACAATTGATGATTCTGCAATCACGATAAGCAAAAGCATTGTGGTAAGTAGCAAGAACCCATACATGTAGTAGAATGTAGTTTTCTCAAGCCAAACTGAATTGAAGATGAAGAGAAGGTCCACATAGACAATTCCGAATGGGATGAGTCCGAAAGCAAAGGTACTGACGGCTGGTGCGAGGAATTGCTGGCGTTTCGAGCTTGATTTCTTTCCGCCTTTCTCGGCTGGGACATATGAGTTGATGAAACAGGACTTGTTCAGAAACTTGAACTTGTTACCATAGTAGGCTCCTGCAATTCCCAAAGGTATTTGTATGAGAGCAAACATCAAAATGAGGAGTACGATGGTACCGAAGGGCAAAGCGTTGGATGATTCCTTCGCCCATACAAACAAATTGATGACAAGATATGCACCCATCACAAGGAATGGAAGAAGCCCTGCGAAAATCGCTCCCAAGAGACTCACAGTACCGATTTCAAACGTGGTGTTGGGGTGATCATTCTTCAATAGCTTGTGCAAGATAACGCCGGCGTATGACGACACGAAACCTGATGCCAATAAGAAGAAGACCGAGCATGAAAAGATTGTGCTTTGATGGTTCTCAAAGAAGATACTGGAGGAAGTACCTGGGCTCAAGCTAAGTTTGGAATTCAAGACGAAAATGACAACAACTCCTATCATAGCAACGAGTATCTGGACACCGGCAGCGCACAAGCTGCTGAGTAGAAGAGGTGCAAATGGACTCTGAACAGCTACATCCGATAAAGCTTTCCACAGGTTTTGCTCATAGTCAGCTTTCAGGTCGGTAGTGGGGATGACTGGTCCAGTCTTAAGGTCTGATTTGAGGAATCTTACCATCACAATGGCCACTATGAGGGAAACAAGACACACGAGAACAAGTGAGTTGACCAAGGATATCCAATGAATTTTCCGGGAGGAAGCCGAATTGTCATTCTCGTAATAAAGGTCCCAGCGATTCTCATGTCCTACCGAGATATCCTCTCTCCAGTAAACAGCATAAGTGTACGGAATAATTGTCCTACCTTCTTTTGGCTTACCTTGAGCATCCTTGAGAATGATAGGGAAATTTTTGTAATTCTTCGATGACCCTGGGCATGTCTCATCAATTACACTCTTGGGGTAGACCTCGAAGCCAACAATCGAGTAGCTTCCGTCCAGTTCAGTATGGTACCTCACCACAAGAACGACGTGGTTGTAGTAGTAAGATACGTCGTTCTGAACGAACCCGAGTGGAAAACCGGCTGCATAGTACTTCGACCTGGAGTTGGAGCTCTCAAAAGTTGTGGCGCCTGGCAATCCGTCGAGAATCCAATGGACAACGTAGCCTTTTCTTATGAGTGAGTCTGCCCAAGTCATGGCCTGGGTTGTTGCAGACATATCACAGAGACGTTGACACGGCACATCTTCTCCGAACCGAAGTTGATAGTTGGATTCCCAAAAGCGATCCCCCTTTAGCACCTCACCTAGCGACGGAGTCTTTGCCTGTTTTGTTTTATCATGACACACAAAAGGCAAGTCGTGGTATCTGTATGGTAATTGTGTGTGGTCGCTTTCGATCTTGTTTAGAAGAAGATCCACATGATCTCCCTTGTGATATAGGCGTTTCAGCTGTATAAAATCTATAGCTGAACAGAACGCACAAAGATATAGTAGGCACAAAAGGCCGACAGCGCGTACCATAACAGATTGGGGTGGAATCAAACGTTGATCAAAAACTCCAAACGACTCGGGTATCCAATGTGAGCATATTATATGAAGGTCGGTACGCATGTTGATGCTGCTCGCGGCTATTTGAGAATGTAGCCACAGCCATTGATGTGCGAATTAACCAAATGTCATGGAGTATTCGTCAGCTTTGTTCCAAGCCACCATGGCGAAGTCAATTGGCTAAGGTTCTGCCAAGTCGCCCGTAAGCGGGTGCCAATTTTCTTGTCGTCGACTTGCATTGTTACGACTCTTTGAGCATCTCCATCGCCTCTCTGATCAAATAGTTTCCCTTGGGATCGAGATTCAAGGCGATAGTGAACTCCCGAATCGCCAGGTATTTGTCGTTTTGTATGTTGTAGAGCTGTGCAAGTAGGAAGTGCACAGATGCCTCATTTGGTGCAAGTTCCTTGACGAGTTCGAATTGTTCCAAGGCCTTATCGAATTGTTGGAGGGAGAATAGAAGCGAGGCTTTTTTAAAGATGGGCAACGCCGAGAGAGGTTGAAGCTTGCTGGCCAAGTCGTATTGCTTCAATGCCAATGACTTCTTACCAAGCTTTTCCAACACCATTCCGACACAGCAAATCAAGATCACGTTGATCGGGTTGATCGCCACGGCTTTTTTGAAGTGGAAGTCTGCCTTACTGAGCTCACCCAAGTTGATGTACACCATTCCAATTCCATACAAGGCATTGTAGTGACGAGGGTCCATGAGAAGACTCAAGCGGAAACAATCGAGAGCCTTTTCGTAGTTATCGTTCGAGTAGTACTCATGGCCCTTGAGCGTATGTGCATAGGTGAAATGAGGGTCGATCTTGATGGCTTTGTCAAAGCAACGAATAGCTTCGTCAGGTTCTCGAGTCAACGAGAAGAGGTTGCCCATGACACACCAGGTAATGGGCAGCAGAGCGTCAATGTCGTGGACTTCGTTGGCCAAGTAGGTGAGCTCGACATTTTTCTGTAAATGCCAAAGTAATGTGGAGTAGTACTCCATGTCCTCAAGTCTGGTACGGTCTGACTGGCGCAACCTGATAAAGAAACGTCGGCTCTGCTTATAATTGACGATCTCATAGTGAAGACGCCCGAGCTTACTGAGAGCCCAGGGAGTGTCCTTGATATTGTCAGGCAACAGCTCAAGAAGACGGATGGCCTTGTAGCAGTCATACTTACAGAAGCACTTGTATGCCTTGGCCAAAGTGGAGAAGAGTTTGCGTAGGGTGAGGTCGGCAGCTTCAACGTCCTTCTGTGAGGGCAGACGAGCCTCTGAGATGAAACCCAGCGACGAAGTTCTCTTGAGGCCCTGGCGAGTCTGAGCCGAGGGAGGCGCCAACGACAGCCGTTTTGTATAGTGTTTCTTTGGAGGCTGAGGTACCTGGATTTGAGGCACCTGTTGTAGAGACGCATTCAGCACTGGCGCAGGTGGTTTGAACTCATCCTGGGGCTTTCGAAGCGGAGCATCTGGCACTGACGCCGATAGTATTCGAGGCGTGGAGACATCGACATTTTTGGCCAATCTAGGCGTAGCAAATGGGTTGGATATGCCTGCCGAGTCGTTTGTGTTGATGCTTTTAGGTTCGAGAACCGGCAGAGGCAGGGTGCGACGCTGGTTTGGCTTGTAGATGGCCTTTACTCTGACGTCGGTACCAGAGCGAGCCAACTCTTGGAATGCTTCAAAGTCAAAGACGTTGAGTTTCACAGCCGTGGCGTAGTTCAAGGCGCTCTTTGTGGTGTCACCCTCTGCCTTATACAAGTCTCCTAGCAAGTGGTACACTGCCAGCAGGTCAGGGAGAAGCAGCCTGTGTGTTTCGTATTCGTGACGCTGTCTAGGCAGCAGAAAGTACGAAGTCAGGGGTTCAGGCTCCGGCAGTTGTCCCCACGACAGGCTCTTGGATTCACTGCTTTCATTGTACAAAGGCAGTACTCCCACCAAAGTGTAGATTCCCTCCTTGTATTTGCCCAAGTGAAGACACAGTCTTGCGTAGATGTAGGCACAGCCCAAGTGGCCATGAGCAAGCTCCAGTGCCGTTCTGTTGAAGGCCAGTTTGTATTTGCTCTGACGGTATAGCACTAGGGCATATAGAAAGAGCAGGTCTGGGTTGTTTGGGGTTAAAGCGACCAAGTGCTCGGCAGCAAACTCGGCGTTTCTATAGTTGAACGTATCCAACAGGTGCACGATGACCAGTCGGAGCTGCTGGGTAACATTGACGTCTTCCATAGTGGTAGGTCAAAGTTGATCTTCGCGCTTCCCCAGATCAACATAACAGTGGAGGTAGTGAGGTGATAATGGGGTGAGGAGTCAAAAATGGATTTTGTGATGGAATTCTACTACTTGTCGTAATCGAAGAGTTTGTATAATGGATTTAGCTCGACGTATTTTTGGTTCATAAAAAAGAGATCCATTACGAGTTAGGAGCGTGTTACGAGTTTGCTCCATCCGGATATGTGAGGCCAGATGAGCGGAATTCAAAGTTTTGAGAGTTTCGAGAAAACGAGTAAGCAAGATCATTCAGTAATCACCAATATCTTTATGTATTATAAGATTAATGGGTGGTTCTAGGTGTGGTGGATGGCTGTTCAGATGAATCCGTGCTTTGAGACACTTCGGGTGGCTCAAATTTACTTGCAAAAGACTTTCAAGAATGGGATCGTTTTGCTGATTAAGTTGATTATGGTTTACTGTCTTCTCGCTGCAAATTCGATTTTTAAGTGATGAAAAAATATTTAGGAATTGTTTGATGTGTATACTCTCTGGCTGAATTTCCAAATTTCGCAGCCATTTTCAAGACTAGTACAATATTCAGTTTTGCAACATAAATATCAACAACAAACATTCAAATCAGTAAATCTATCAAATAACTACTTCTAGCGATTAATCCTTCAGAACGATAGCGCCGACCTGTTTCCTTACTAAATTGCTGCCGCAAGACGAAATATCAGAAGTCGCTCCCCAATGCGAGGGAAGTATTTAACATCTACAAATTTAGTGTCTGGGATATGTTATTCATGTATTGTTCTTCATCAATTGTATAACCTCAAGATCATCATTAGTAATTACAGATTGTTACAACATTATTTTTTTGACTTGATCACAAATGATCCGTCACTGGTGTAAGCCATAAGCTTCTCCGACTTGTCCTTCTTCTTGCTGCCACTCAAGACTCTGCCATTGCTATTGCTGAAAACAGGCTGCTCAAAAGAGCCTTCCAGCTTCGCTGAGGCAGGAGTGCCCATATCGGGGAAGTACTCCTTTTTGGCTGACTTGGTGGTGTTGGGGGTGCTGCCAGCAGAAGATCCCGCTTGTTTAGGAGAAAGGATTCCTGAAGCTAGGAGGTATGGGGAGGCGAAACCTTGACCAGAAGGCAATTGAGGTGTGGTGGGGCCGCGTTTAACCTTGGTCGCCGATGTGTCCACGGTAAGCTTGGGTGGCGCTTGTCCGGTACTGCCCGAAGAAATGGTGGTCTCATCCATGTATCCAACAACAGGGGAAGCCTCCTCAGAGGTGTTGCTGTCATTGTAGAGCGTCGTCGAGTTAGTTATGTCCTCGAGCAATTCGCCATCACGGATGAATCCTTTAGCCCTGAGTTCCTCGTCTCTGACTTTGTTCTCTTCTCTGGCCTTAGCAAGAAGTTCCTGGGCCTTAGCCAAGGAGACCGTGGGTGTGTTGCAACTACTCACCACAGGAACGCTGTCGTCGATGTCAATAGTGGCAGTCATAAGAACCTTCAACCAGCCCTTCATCTCCTCCTGCGTCTCAACGGCGAAGAAATGGGTCTTGGGTTGCGTAAAGGTCAAACCCTTCTTGAAGCCGGGTGCTGGAGGAACAATCTTGAAACAGTATCTTCCAAGACCAGTCAGGGCTGCGTAGAGAGCAACGTATTTGTCGTTACTGCTTGCGCTGTCTCCATCAGTACTGATAGGAATAACCTTATGGGCGGTGATGTCGATCAAGCCCTTTTCACGCTTGTCACGCAAATTAGTGAAGTAAGACAACCTCGTGCCGTGAAGTGTGAAATAGCGCGATCTCCAACCCAAGGTACTACCTGACTTCTTTGACATCCAGCCGCTGAAACTGGAAGTCTTGATAGCCTCATCAGGCGTAATGTCTCTGATACCTTCCTGGAATGCGGAGGTCTTCAGTTTTCTCGATCCGGTGAGACCTCTGAAATTCGAGGTAGAAACCGAACGCAAGCTCTTCAATCTGCTAGCATTACGCTTATCGTCACCACTCTTATTTGAACCGCCTGAGGCGACTCTGTCCTTCTTTGGCGAGAGATTCACATCGTCAATGTCTGGCAAAGTGTCCTCGGTGAACTCAGCTGGATCAGGTTGCTTGTCAAAGAGCCTGGAAGCTCTCTTGTTTTTCGTTGGACTTGCGAGACCCTTAGTTAAGTTCTGACTGTGCAATTTCTCCTTCTGTGGGGCACCAGACTCTTCATTACCATTACCAGACATGAACGAAAAGAGGGACGAGTGTCTTCTGTGGGCCATCTCATTCTTACTGGAGGAAGTGCGTCTGTGATGACCCAGAGTGCCAGCATCGTAGATAGATGAGGCAGGTCTGGAGGCGCCACCGGGGCTGTTGACCATACCCGAGGAAGCGTTGGTTCTGGTCATGTAGAAGCTGTGGCTAGCTGGAGAGTCGTTGCTTTGCGGAACAGCTGGGCTGCCGCCGAACTTGAAGTTCTTGTTCATAGGGCTCAAGGCAGGAGGCTCAGGAGCCTTTCTGGGCGACATGAAAGAAGTGTCTGTCTTGGGGGTATTCAAAGCCAGCAAGTTTTCCATCGATTGAGATCTTGTTCTAGCATGGCTCTTGGCTGAAGCTGCTCTCTTTCCGTTTTCTTTGGCATATGGGTTGAAAGAAGGAGCTGGGAGAAGTGTGGAGGCACTCTTGGGCTCGCGATCATGGGTTCTCTCCTTCTCGCCCTCGTCCAGGTCAGAGTTATTGAATGGTGGAGAGGCTTCCTTGTGGGACTCTTCGTTCTCTTCAGGCTTGACGACCTTTTCAGGTGCATTAGTTTTGGAAGCGACGCGGCTGCCGGGAGCTCTGGAGGCCATCTCCTTGAGCTTCTCGATTTCCTTGTAGACCTCGAAACGAGTGCCAAAGGAGTCAATGTCCAATTCCTTGAGGTGAGCCAAGTCAAGCTGGAACAAAATTTCACCCGTGATCTTGTGGCGAGCGAACTTGCCAGCCACGCTCATATCGAAGCCCAACACGATAGCGAAATACGACAGAACCTGCTTGGGCGTCCATTCTGAAGCTTGCAAGGGGTTGAGGTCGGTGGTGAGAGACTGAGTGGACACGTTACGGTTGTGGCCCTTCTTAGGCTGCTCTGCTGGCTTCTCCTCCTTGGCCTGAACGTCTTCCTTGGACGACTCACGCGTCGACGTCTGGAGCTCTTCCAAAGCCTTATCGATTTCGTTCATCGTGGAGTGAACGTCGTTCAGCTGCGTCTGTGTCTGCGTCTCCTCTGGCTGCGTCGAGGGCTTCTCCTGGGAAGCTATCCTGCTACCGGTATCTTTCTTCTGACCAGAGGGAACTCTGCGGGAACGGGACCTCAACAAAGTGGGTTCCAGGGGCTGTTCGGCCACGGGTTTCGTGAACAGCTTGGGAAAAAGTCCAACCTTGCCGCTGGTGACGGACTTACCCATATACCAGCCGTCGTTATACTCGGAGTCGTCGGCTAACACCTCGATTTTCTCCCCGACGGCGAGATTCAACTCGTCACCGAGGCGGGCGTTAAACTGCTTTATGCATAGAAGGAGACCCAGGGTCATGGTGGGATAGATGGTGTGGCAAAAGTGTGGGTACTTGTCTGTTTGGCTCGATTGTTTACTAAGGCGGTTTCACTGGTGTATGTGTCGCGTACTCCTGGTGACAAGGGGTTTTTGCGGGGGCTTTTGCAAATGGGTAGGGAAGGAGCGTGGGAACCAACGGTGTGGGAGGGGTGGGGCCTTTTTGGAAAAAAGAACAGACTTGTGGTATGGAGATGAAGACGGCTCGAGGTTTGGAGGGTGTGTAGAGAATGGGCCTAACGGACTGTGTGCAGGACAACAAAGTGTTGTAATAATTTTCTCACGTGATCTGCTAGGAACTGATCCTCCGTTGTTCTTGGTATGGGTTGATCATCAGGGAAAGGTTTATAGAGATCTCCAATAGTAAGTGTCGAATCATTACGTTCAGTTCCAGAGTCATCCTCAGACTCTGTCGACTCTGTTGACACATTCCTCTGGCTTCTTCTCTTCATGATGTCTTCTTATATATATACTATTGTTTTCTCTATTTCGATACTTCTTCTGATGGACAGAGCCCTCCTATTTATACTTCTTAGATAGCCGAAGTCACAGGCTCCCTTTCTCGGTATTCCGAAGATGAACGATACCTTGGAGGTATCGCTCCAGCTCTGGAATATCCTTCACATAATACGCAACACAAAGAGTGTCTGGACGATTACTAGTTTTGGGCAGGACCAAGGGTGCCCAGGGTATTGGCAGCTGGCGAGGAACGAGATGGAATTTCTTGAAAGATAGGGTCTTGGGAAGAGCTGGAAATGGTGGATATAACACGGAAAACCCGTGCACCACGGCTTAAAACGGTTCTCAGCGAGATTTCGAGGCTCTGAAAGTGAGCGTTTCTAGGCGATGGCACGCACATCTTAAAAGAAAGAAAAAAAAAAAAAGAGAGCGAAAGCAGCAGAACGGCTAGAACCTTTTCAGCAATTGCCCGGTTGCTGCTGCTGACAAGCACAAAGAACGAAGTTGCTGCGATGGGCACTTTTTAGAATTTGGCAAATATTTCAAAATTAGAGTACTTTTTTTTTCTGCCGATTATGCCCTTTTCTAGATGTGGTTCGAGATCCCGGGGCCTGCGGCTGCTTTAGTCCCCATACCAGCATGGACCGCGGCACCGATTTTCAAGACAATCAAAAAACACCACCTTCCACCCGTGGCTTAGACTCGCTTAGGTGGATGTTGTCAAGAAAAACGAAGAAACGTGAAGGCTTTTACCTCTTTTTTCGGCTTTGGCGGCCCGCTGGCATCTGGGCTTCTCTGTAGGTGCAACACGGCCTCGGTGGTAGCAGCATTGTTAATTTTCTTGACTTTTCAGCAGGAACCAGGAAATCGAATTATGTAGCGTCGAGGCGGATGCAGCTTGGCAAACGGCAGAAAAGAAGGTGAGGTATTCACGGATTTCGGGCAATTCTTGGGCGGTCTTGTGCTTTAGATTGGTTCCTGGATTTCGCAGCCACCCGTGCGGCGTCAGCCTGTTCTAGAACGGCGTGGGTGGTTGCAAAAAGAGGATTTTGAATTTTTAAGGTTTTGGGTTGGGTGATTTGATTCAAGGAGGCTTTTCATTTGGATTTACGGAAGTTTGGTTGGTGTTGGTGAGGGTTTGGCTGGTGAGGCTCGCGACAATACGGCTGAATTACTCGTTTGGGAGTAGGACGAATCAGCCCACCGTAGTGGGAGATCTGGGGTGGGCGGAAAAGAATAACAAATAAAAAAAAGAAGATGTCGAGGTGAAATTTTTTTTGATACTTTGGTGGAATTGTTGTTTTGGCTGCCTTGTGGCCATGTCGTGTGATGCTGGTATAGGCAATCAATATGCCATTGTCGTCTAGCGAGCCTGAGAGACCGAAACCAGGAAAGCTTAATCCGAATTCGGCACTGAGGCATTTTGCTTCCGTGAACGCCGTTAGACTATAACCGAGAATTTCTTAAATTTATCGAATTTGTTGATGAGACGGAAAACGCCTTCTCTTACACATTGAATAGCACTCCTCTACACTACACCTCCAATCTTCCATCTCGTAATTCGTGTTGTAGCCAGCTACAAACGGTACACAAAGTGGGGACTCTTATCGCCCATCTTGACAAGCTCCTCGGGAGGAACTCCATCGTACTTGCCCAGTGCAAGATCTCTCTTCTTCTTTCGGTTGCTTGCAACGTAACCAATAATGGTGATGAACATGAAAAGAAGACCCATGACGGAGAACCCAAGCTCAAGGCCATGGCCCAACTTGTACTCGGGTGCATCCTGTTCTCTGTAGAAGTTTGACGAAAATGCACCGGCAAAATTGCCAATACCAATTTGGAACGCCATACCCACGGCTCTCTTGTACGAACCAGCCAAATTGTTGGAGAACCAAATCACCACAAGCGGGAAAGCAGAATAGATCCCCAACGCCATAATGTAAACTCCAGCATAGACAGCCTGAGGCAGATCCTCTGGTGAGAGAGCCAAACAAATGCTGTAGCCGACTGCGATACATATCAAGTCAAAAGTCATAAACGGTGTTCTGAGGCCCACCTTATCGGAGACCCAGGCCTGGAAAATACAGAACACAGCAGCCACAATGTAAACAGGTGCCGACATAAGCTGAGCATGGGTGGATGTGTAGCCCAAGTTTTTGACAATTGTGGGTGTAAACAAGGAAACACCGTAGAGAGGCACACAGACACCGTAGTAGGTCATAAGCTGGCACCACGACTGCCAGTCCTTGAACACAGCCCAGACGTTGGAAGCATTTCCAGAATTATCCTCACCCAAGTTCATGGAAGGTGGAGCACCGGCACCGGTCATTTTTTGGTTTTCAGCATTGGAAGAGTACTTCACCCTGTGAACCACAAATTCACGCTCCTTTGGCGTAAGAAACGTACTCTCTTTGGGGTACAATGGGAAACAGAAGTACGACAAGGCGGCAGCGACAAAGGTGAGCAAACCTTCCAAAATGAAAATCCATCTCCACCCCTCGTAGCCGCCAATTCCGTCCATTTGAGAAATAGCAGCAGCCAAAAGACCCGAAAAGGCACCGGCAATGGAGGCGGCACTGAAGAAAATGGCCTCTCTGACGAGAATCTCCGATTTCTTATAGTACATTGACAAAATGTACGAAATGCCCGGGAAAAGCGAAGCTTCAAACAAACCCAAAAGCGCTCTGGTGGCCATGAGCTGGTGATAGTTCTGCACTGTTCCCATCAACGTCATGACAATCGACCACAACACCATCGTGGTGGGAATGTACAATCTTGGCTTGACGTGGTGCAAAATGATGTTTGAAGGGATCTCCATGGAAGCGTAAAAAATAAAGAAAATCGTCAAACACAAGTTGTACTGGTTCCCAACCAAGTTCAAGTCCTCAGCGAGACCCTCTATTTTGGCATTTCCAATGTTGCCTCTATCCAAAAAACTAAGCAAGTACAAAACCGTGAAGAGCGGAATCAAGTGGAGATCGATCTTCCAGAGCAACTTTTTCTCGTCAATGTCTGAAAACTTGTCGATATCCACAGCGGCTTCATCAGCGCCAGCCTCTTCGTCCTTGACTTCCACCCACTCCACAGAAGGCTTGTCGATCGACCCCAGGGGTCTTTCCTCGATACTCACGGCCAGATTGTCCTTACCCATGGGTTTTCAAAAAAAGAGGAAACGGCTCTTTTTATAGTGATGCCCAGGTGGGGGTCCCCGCTGATCTGCGTAGCGGGAAGTATATAGATACGAGAGAGGGGTGGCGGAACTCTGGCAATACATGTATAAGGTGCCTCTGTCAACGCCGTTGTTCATTGTTGAACAATCGGTCACGGTTCCCGAGATATTGTGGAAGTTTTGCTTTTTTTGAACTTTTTGTTTTTTTATTAGAGCTCCCCAATTGTGAAGCTAATTAGGGCCTTCTCTGCCCCACGTTATCTCGCTTGCTAATGGTTGCAAAACGCGGAATCAGGGAGGGGCGCCCCAGGTTAACCCCGTCACCATTGTCCAACCCGCTGCTTTGCCTCAACCTCCTCATTGTATTTTTGCTTTTGTGACACTTGACACACGTTATTTTGATTGTTTTGTATGAAGCATTTTTTGTTTTTCGTTGGGTAGCTCCGTTTCAAGTGGGGCTCGTTCCGTGGAATCCAGGTACCGCGGGGACGGCTGGAGGCTGCAAGTGCCGTTAAGAGAAATAGGCTTCCTGAGGTTCACTTGCAGAAGTCACCAGAAGCCTAAGATTGAAACCCATGGAGGCGGGGCAAAGCCTCGAATACTTTTTTGATATCAAATAATCAACTCCTAATTTCAGGAGCATGGTTTGTGTCAACAACTCCGTGGCGCTTAAAGTAGCCTGCTTGCATTAAGGATGTGGGGATGGTGAGCTGGTGCTGCGCTTAAGCGAATTCGTGGGGGATGCCCAGATAAGTATGACCGGGGAATTTCACACAAATCCGGGGAATGCTGATCACTTCGTCAGTAGATTTACGAGACTTGACTCTCTTGTCGATCGTTGTCATCCACAGTGCTACTAACGCCTACAGTCCATCACCTACACCACTCTAAAACGCCATTCGTAATTTCATGATAAATCAAATACACTAAGTCTTCATGGTGAACTTGTTCACGGACTTCTCGATAAGCTTGTTCACGTCCTTCAGGTCCAACACAACGCCCTTCTCAGAACACTTGGCCTTGCTCTTCAATTCATTACACAACCCGTCAATGTCCAAGTCAGTGTAGCGAGGGTGTGAGGTGATGCGGTCCCAGATCTCAGAGCACTTGATCGTCTTGTCAGGGGCAGGCACAACCTCCTCCTCTTGTTTATCCTCCTTGATAGCGGGACTGCTGTTATAACTCGTCACCGACAGCGAGGATCTGTTGGCGCCGCTGACCGAGTTCGTTCTCGAACTGGCATCGGAAGGTAAGCTGCTCTTGACAAATTCGTTGAAGTTGAAGTCTGTGTTGACGCTGCCGAGTGGATCGTAGGCCGACTCCTCGCTCACGAGACCCTCGATGTCGGCCTTATCTTGTCTGTTCTCGAGCTCGTTGGTTGGATTGCCAAACGCTAGCGACACGTCAAAGTTGTTGTCGTTGTAGAACGATAGAAGGTCGTTCTGGTCCTCGTTGATGGGGAAGTTGAAGTTGTAGTTGGATGTGTCGTTGAAAAATGGGTCGTTGATGTGTTCGGCAGGCGTGAATAGCGTCTGGAAGTCGCTCTCTGGCGCCACGGGCTGAGGCACGTCCTCCTCTCTGACAGGTGGGATATCGTTTCCTTCACGACGGTACTTTGGCACCGGCCGCTGCTTTGTACCGCAGGCCTCGTTGAGCTTTACACAGAATGGATCGAGCTGTTCTTCGTAACGAGGAGAGATATTAAACTGATTCTGCGGACTGAGGTTCATGTGGATCAGACCGTGCTGAGACTCGCTTGTTTGGGAGTCGGGAGAGACAAAGTTGCCCTCATTGGGTGACGTCGACAGCGAGGAGCCGCTCACCAAGTCTGGCAATTGTTGGGTCGACCCGCTGGAGTAGTTGGAGGGAGCATTGTGCAAGTTCTCCGCAGACCAAGGGAACTCGGCATTGGGCGTGTCGCTCACAGCCTGATTGTCCTTCTTACGGTCAGGATTGGGGTTTGTCAACTTACCCACGGAGGTGGGCAACTGAAGGTCTGAGAAATCCAGGTGTCCTCTGTGGCGGGCAAGCTCCCTCTTCAAGAGATCAATCTGCGCCTTCAACAAGTCCTGCTCCGTGGCGGCCTTGATGTTCTTGTCCTCCAAGTCGGCGACCTTGTCCTCGAGGTCCTTCATCTTCTTCTCCTTTCTTTCTCTGTAGGCCCTCTGAGCGGCTCTGTTCTGGGCGGTTCTCTTGGATTTTGGCTCTGTGTTCGAGAACTTTCTGCCTGGCTTGACGTGAGTCTTTTTGTCCTCGTGAGCAAGCGACGACTCCGTCTCGGGGTGTTCTCTCTTGTCGACCATGGCAATGTCTGGGGTTGGGTGGGAAGGATTCGGGAGACTAAAAACGGAAGATACGGAGTTTTGGAATTAGACTGGGTTTTTTAATGTCCCCTATCGCAAATAGAATTGGCTACCTCAGCGTCTTTGGGAAAAAAGAAGTAGTAGGTCGTGGGTGGCAAGTGACGTTAGATAGATGGTATATAGGCTAACGTCTGATGCGGGAGTGAGGGGCTTTAAGTAGTGGGCAGTGACGAATTGCTTTTTACACCCGCAGCAGAGAAGGAGCAGAAATCGGGGGTATATAAGACAGAATCCTGCAAATTCAATGTAATGGTTTGATTTGCAAAAGCTTGTTTCTTCGTTTAGCAGCGGCAGCAGCACGCCGCGCTTGGGTCGAAGAGATGCTGACAAATCCTTTAGGAGGGCCTTTGGGTGCGAAATTGAAGGCTAGAATGCGGCGGAAGCTTCGCAGACAGGCCATAAAAAAATAGCGCCTAAAACGGGCCTCTGACTCACGCATGCAGCGATGCAAAAAGCTGTCAATGGAAAAAGACTAATGATGTAGTCAGGCGGAGGAGGTGAAATTCACAAGAATGTGGGTTACGAGCTTAGCTTGCTCTCCTTTTGTGCCTCAAACTCAGACCCAGCAAATTGCTGGAGAACGGGCGAGGCCTCCACACAGTGAGACCACTTGCTCCCTGGCTGCAACTCGGCTACACAAGGTATGCCATCTTAACCCATGCACCTCCCCTTTCACAAGTTACGTGGGACCAGCGGAAATGACGTGCGTATTGTTTGAGTTAATTTCACCCCGGAACAGGCCCGTTCTGGGTCTCGGGTTCGGACTTCGTGACCAATGCGAAGCCCACGGAGCCGACCCCGGACTTTCCCCGGCTGCATGTGACCACTTTGAATTCGAGACATACGTATAGATCTCGCTCGTGGAAGGATTATTTTTAGATGCTGGCGGAAGGCGACTCTATTTCTGCTTCGTGACCATGGTGTAGATGGGGAAGTACTCGTGGAACGTTTCGGAGATCTTCACCTTAGTATCACTCTCGACGGAATCACTCTTGATCTTCAGCTCAAGACTCTCAAGCTCCTCTAGGTAGGCCCCACACGCCTTTCGAATATTGTCATACCACAAACGTGCGTCCTTTTCGGAGCCCTTGAAGAACGGCTTCATCGAGTCAGCGTCGAACTTCTCAACAATGTCACTCAAAAGCTGCAAAGATCCGCTGAAGTTCCGCCTGAGATCTCCAATAACGTTGATATATCTCTGCTTCTTCATATCAGGACCAAGTTTATCGAAAGATGTGTAGAACTCTGTGGCTTCCTGATACTCCGTGAAGCTAGGACATGCTGGCACCTCCACTGAGCGCCATGGCTTCATACGTAAATTGTACAAAAGCTCGTCGTCCACAATCGCCGGCGGTTTGCCCATGTTTGCACCAAGCAGTTGGTACAAGAGCAAGGTTTGGGAGACCGCAATGCAAAGCATCTGGATAGCCAAAATCGAAGGCTCCAAGAACTGCTCGATATACAGCAAATTACTCTTGACCTGTGGAACAGCAGCTTCGGTCAATGCTTTATGCAACTTCTTAAACTCCTCTTTTTTAGGACCCGCCTTGGCCTTTTTAATCTTTTTCGCCAAACTCAGAACTGATGCAAGTTTTCCGTTATTAATTTGCTTGACTCTAACTGAGATGTTGGCATGGTCGTTCTCGGCCAAGTACGAGGCATACCAGTACATTTGAGCGGCTTCAAAAGGTTTGTACAAGTTTAGTTCGAATCCACTCAAAATAGTCTCAAGCATCACATTGAGCTTGGTATGATATGCAAATGCTGTGACGGGAAGAGCAGGCTCCATGGAATCAGGAGCTAACCTATCACCAATGGCGAACTTGGAGAAGAGGTAAAGCTCAAGATTCTCAGAAGTGTACTGCAATGTATCCCAAATGACAATGGTCTGGTTGTCAAACTGCCTCTGTCTGCACTTGTTGTTACCGTAATTGGAGAGCATTTTGTACATGGCATTTTCAATGTCATCGAGGAGAGCTCCGATTCGAGAGAGAGCGTCTCTATGCATTTGCTCTTTCTTGAACGGATCCTCCTCAGGAATTTTCCAAGAAGCGGTATCCAACACTGAGGTTCCAGCGCAGCTCAAGTTCTCCATGAGCCTTATTGCTGTGGAGCCCACAGACTCCTCCAGACCGACAATGGACTTGTCGTCTCTTATGAAGAAAAGCTGGTAAAATCCACGTGCAACGGAACTATAATCGGCTGTCATGCGAGGGGCCATGCTGAAGCGAAGGAAAGACTGGAGCTGGCGAACATTGTCAAATTTGGAGAATGCAGTGACAAACGTTTCGATCTCGGCAGCCATCTTCCACAAGTCAGTGTAGGCCTGTTTTTGTTCAACGAGGAAGTTGTCATATGGTATATGCTTGTTGTTGCAATCAGTTTGAACAAATTTGGAGACAGAGAGCTCAGGCCCAAGACCAAGGGTCTCGTTCTCCAACTTTTTGGCAAGGTCCTTGATGTTTCCGATGCTTGAAAATGAAAGTTTCTCTCCAGGATAGTACAAGCTAATAGTCGAGCGGACAACATCACAAATGGACACCAATGCAGCTGCCAAGGATAGGTAGTCTATAAGCAGCCCTGATTTCTCCTTTCCTTGCACCCATGCTTTAGCTTCCTCGATTGTTTCTATAATAACACTTGGGTCCACTGCACTGAGCATATCGAGGTCCATGTTTCTTGTAGTCAAGTCCTCTTCGTCATAAAGCACATTCAAAGCGATCTCTCTGACGACTCCAGAAAATTTGCAGATTCCAGCGACAAATGCTCGAAGTACCTTGTTGACCAATAGCGATTCGTCCAGGTCCAGTTCCGTGAAGCCGTCCTTGTGAAGTCTGTGGTTCACCAAGCTTGTTTTGTCCAATTGACCACCGCTGCGATGATAACTCTGCAAAAAGTCCAAAACATAACGATTACTGAGGAGTGTAACAGGTAATGACAGTCCCAGAAACCACAGCATGAGCAGCATGGTTATGTGGTTCATGGAGCCCAACACGTTATCCACGTCTTGAGGTGCCGCAGCGTCAAACATAATCTCCTCTTGTTTCAATTTGATAAGCCCTGTATCCAAACGAAGGTTCCCTATCTCTATAGCTCTTGATCCTTCGAGCATATCGAAGTATTGGGAAGCGACGACATTTCCAGGCTTCATGCCTTCCACGGATCGGAAAAATCGATCGGTGACATCGACGTAGATGGCGTCTAAGGTTAGCGAATTTTGAGAAAGATTGAGCCCATTCTGACATACCTGTCGGGAGATCCATATGCTGATAAGATACTTCGGTCTGATTTTTTTGTTAGTGCGCGATGTCAAGGTGTTGATGTGGGTCTAACTCGCTCAATTTTGCTCGCAGAGGGCTGAAAATTCGCAGAGAGATAGATGATGGGTTGATGAATTTGGAAGTATAATCAAAAATGTAAGTTTTGAGAAAAGCTTTGTTTTGTGTGATATAATAAAGAGTTAGCCTTATAAAGTGAATTAAGGGTGGTTGGTGTAATGGTTAGCATTGCTGCCTTCCAAGCAGCAGACATGGGTTCGATTCCCGTACCACTCATTTTTTTGGATCAACTACACTCTATATGTCATTAATTTCTTTGAGCTAACCCACCAAATTGATTTTTTTTATAGCTTCATGGTAACGATTAACCTGGCGTTCATTCAGAATCCAAGTCAGTCTATCAAGAATAGGGTCGATGGTTACATAATAGTCATACAAAACCTATCGAATCATTCATCATAGCGTGGAGGCGGAAGGGACTCACTATGCTTATCATTATAGACAGTCAATCTATCCGTAGCGACTACCTTGACTGACAGAAATGACATAACTGAAACCTTCAACTTCACAACTAAATGATATTCTACGGAAAAGTTGTCAGAAACGGATGAAGGGAATAATGCCGGAAAGGAGCAGCGAACAAAGTCATTTGGGATTGTTACAATTTGCTCGTCATTAAATTCGTATCTGTTTTCAAAAGCTCGACCTCCAACAGCTCTGAAAGTATCTGATAGCAAAGTACCCGTTCGTTCATTTTGCACCAACTTGTCACCTACCTTCATAATTCTTCGATGAGTTATCCCTATATTTATCATTTTGAGTCCCACATGAAAAGTTTTGGGACATGACAAGCGAATGGTATAAACTTCTGCAAAGATATGACGGGCAGCGTATGGTTTTTTCTTGATAAAGTAAAGACAAAAGTCGTTTTGGTTGGGGAGATATTTGTGTAAGTCTTTGAAGTCACTGAAGATCGACAAATGCCGTGATTTGAAAAGCTGACGAGCATAGTAGGATGTTCCAAAAGTGTAGCCTTCTTTTCTGAAGATGACCGCGTTTGCATAGTCAATTTCAGGTCGTTTGAATTTTGATTCTGAAACACATTTTATATCGGACTCCGACGATTGTGACACTGTGAATATTGTGACGACTGCCTCATCATGGACGAAGGAACATGTGTGATGCTCTAGTAAGCCATTTACCCGTGCTTTTTGAAGTACGGATTGGCTGACAGTTTGCATAACATATGGAGATTTTGGTAGCGTTTCAATATGTACCAAATCTTGTTCTTTTATAACTTGTTGTATGGGAAAAGGAACATTGCGTTTGAAAGTCTCAACGGCAACGTTTATATTGGTTGAAACCTTGAATGTAGTCAGACACCTATTTTCTAGGCATTCAACGGTCACTGAGAACTCAAGGGCGTACCCTCTGGTGCAATTGTTCGAGAAGAATGTGGGTCCGAGGTTTGGAAGCTTACAGTCAAAGAGCTTCCCAGGAAGATCAACAGATATATCGCCTCTGAGTCTCGCATACTCCGAATTTCGTATCTTCTCATCGTATTTAATGTTTTGTAGATTGAGAGTCCGAACGTCTGTTTGAATCCCATATCCGTCTTCAAGAATCACATTGCAGGTTGTGTATTCCTTAAGGTCAATCGAAACCCCGGGTATTCGGATATCTGACCTACAATGACAGAATGCCAATCCATGTTGTTTAAGCAGAATATTGAAGACATCCGGTAGTCTAGCAGAGGGTGCAACGACATTGGTTATGCCGAGCTGAGCGTATGCTGTGGGAAGATTATAAGTGACAACCAATTTTCCGTGTACTGCTCCGCTAGTATTGCTTTCCTCGGTAATTGAAGAGACGACCTTTTGAGCATGAAATTTGTAGTAGTCGCTCATTGTTTGATTCTGAAAGCCCGGCTCATACGGGATGTGAATATTTCCGACTCGAAGAGTAAGAAGAGCAAATGGAGATCCACGTTTCACGGCTAATCTGAAAACGTCTGAGTATTTAACGGCCTTGAAAGGATCCACGTGTAGCTGTGCCTTGTTGATAAGCGATTGGACGATTCTGCAAGTGCCATCATCCAAGTAGGGGCCCGAGCCCAAGCCCACAATTCCTTCTCTTCTCCTTGCTTCTTCGATAAAAGGGGCTTTATCGATTTGTGGATCAAGGTGTGGAATGTCTCCTAGCTCAAGTGTTGTAACGGTCCACAGAGATTTGCCAACGTAGAAAGTGCTGACATCGTGAGATACATATTTAGAAAGATCTTTCTCGAGAATTGCAGAGATCTTGTTCTCGACGTCCTCCAGGTGCTCTGCCCTTCTTATAAAAAGTAGGTGCTGTGTATTCATCGAAGTTGGTGCATTCGTCCGGAGGACGAATTGATGTGATTTGCACTATTGAGGAGGTCCAGGGACAGCAATTCAAACAAATCAGGACAATTCAAAAATTCCAGCTTCAACGGTTTTATGGAGCAGATCTGCTCCCTTTATAGTGCATCACAATTACGAGTTCCGTTTCAGTCGTGCCGCATTCTATGACGCAAGATCCAATACTGCAAGCTGCGATAAGCCTTCCTGAGCAGGCACAAGTTTACGAGATAAGCAAGTCAGGCACTACTTTACTTATTTAAAATTCATTTTATAATTTGAAGTTGATGAACAAGAATCATAATCAAAAGTTCCGAATGTTCATCTCATGGCTACTGTCTATGATCATCTGACTCTGTGCTGAAAAGTCATGTTGGAATGATCGAAATTGGCCAATAATCAAGACTTTAAGTTAATTATTTGAAAAGACGCCGATTCATGACCTGTGGTGTTTGCAGAATTGAAAGCATTTTACTTATCTGACAGGCCTCTAGTGCGTGAACTTTTTCGCAGCCATTGATTGCAATAGTATAGGCACCAACCAGGACGTCAATACAAACTTATTTTTCCAAATTATCTCTCTCTTATATAAAAATCAACATATGAAACGTATCCAATGCAATTTGCCTAATTCCCAAAAATTCTACAAAAATTAACCTCCCTCTCACTCTTCAATTGTCCAACGCTCATCTCCATACACCATCTCCAGGCGCGCTGTTTACGTCTTGATCTCATCAAAACACACACTTCAACAAGCCATTTTCCATGGACCACGCCCGGCCAACGCCCCGAAGCGTCACGCAAATGCAGACGCTAACGGAAATTGAAAATGCCATGTCTCATGTTTTTCAGGATGCTCAAATGACGCTCTCTGGCCATCGGAAACTCGCGGTCGTGCTTCGAAACATCCAAACCAAAGCCATTGAGTTGGACTACGAGGAAAGCTTCAACTTCCATTTCACCAAGCTCGTGCTGAAGGTGTTGAAGGTCCGGAAAGGCGTGCCGGCGGCCGACAGAATCGCCAAATTCGTCACGGTGTTTGTGAAGAAGATGATCGAGGATGAGAGCAAGACGCCGTCTCGTCCAGCTGAAGAGGAGGATGGGGTTCCTACTGTTTTCGTGGAGTTTCTCTTGAGACACTTGCTTCGTGGTACAGAGTCAAAGTTCAAGGATGTGAGGTACAGAATCACCCAGTTTTTGGCATATCTCGTCCATACGGTGCCTGAGATTGACGAAGACCTATACAAGGCATTGGAGTACACCTTGCGCCGTGGTCTTCGAGACAAAGAGCACATTGTGAGGCTTCAGTCGGTTGTTGCCATGTCAATGTTTCAGCTTCATGACCAAAACGGTGATCAGAGACCCAACCATGCTGTCAGGGCAATTGTGTCTGCAATGAACCACGACGAGTCCCCCGAGGTACGCCGTGCTGCAATGCTCACGGTGACGAAAAACAGATACACAATCCCCGAAGTACTCCGCCGAGCCAGGGACACCAATGCCATTAATAGAAGACTAGTCTACGGAAGAGTGTTCTCTGAAATTGGCAGTTTGAAGGAAGTTGATGTCGAGTTGCGCCAGAACCTTCTTAAATGGGGTCTACATGACCGTGAAACGTCTGTAAAACAGGCAGCGGTGAATATGTTCACTAAGTCCTGGCTTAATATGACCGACGAGAAGATCTTGGCTCTTCTAGAAAGGCTCAATGTCGTGGACAGCGACGCGGCAGAGCCTGCCATGATCGAGTACTTCGATAAGCATTCTGAATCGTTAGACAAAGTTGAGTTTACCGAACAGCAATGGCGTGAACTTGACTCAGAGAGAGCATTTTACATCAGAACCTTCCTCGACTACTGTCATGCGCATAATCTTCACAACAAGCTTGACAAGAGTCTCCCCGAATTGACAGTGCTAGCATCATACTTGAGTGACTATTTGAAGCTACGCAAGAGGCTCATGCAAGGTGATCAGCAACTTCTAGACGAAAACACTGCATTCAACAAGAAGATGGCTCGCTTCAATCAACACATACTCGAAAAAGAGGCTGACCAGGCTGACCTTGCTCGAAGAATTTCCAAGAACGAAAAAGCATTGAGTCTGGGTCAATCTCACATCGAAACGTTAACCGAGACAGTCAAACGCACGAAACATGACTTGACTCACCTAGCTTCGAAAAAAGCCGACCTCCAAAAGGCTGGTGCCACGACCGATTCCATTAATGAAAAGATCGCTAGCCTCAAAGAGAAGAGCAAGCTGTCGACAAAGGAGCTCGAAGACCTCAAAAACAGATTGGTGAAGATCCAAGATTATCTTTCCAAAGACGAGGACACACTCAAGAAAAATACCAAGGCCATGCAGCATCTTGAGGACGAGAGAGAAGCTTACTACGAATCAGCTAGTGAAATCCCCCGAAAATTCAAGGCTTTCGGTGACCAGATGAAGCATTTAGAATTTATCATCGAACAACTTCTTCTTGTTATCAAGCGGAGTGACTTTGCAGATATTGCTGGTACCAGAAAGTTGCAACCATTGATCTCGCAGACTTTGGCTGCTGATAACTTGCCAGACAAGCTTATTGTGCTATGTGTTCAAATTCTTCGTCAGCTTTCCAATGATGAAAGCTATTTTTCAAACTTGTGCATTGAGATCATCACTGATATCCGTGACTCTGGAATGGAGGAAAACGACCAGACTTTTGTCTCGGCAGCTTCTTTATTTGGTGAAGATGATGGCGCTGCAGATGAGGATGAAGATGACATCGAGCTGAACACTGAAGAGTCCAGCAAGAGGAGAAAGGTTGCACCATCCCTTCCATCTGAAGATCTTCTCATTCAGTGTTTGATGGTTCTTCAGCATTACCTCGAGCTTTTAGAGGACTCAGTGTCGAGTACACATCAGTTTGACTCGCTTATCGAGACATTGATTCGCCCAGCTATGTGTAGCGCTAACTGGGAGGTCAAACGATTCGGTGTCCGATGCTTAGGTTTGGTGTCTCTTCTAGACAATTACCTCACATTGAAGAACTTGAGAATCTTTGGTCAGTATGCATCGAAGAGTGCTGACGAGGAGTTGAGAATTTTAGCAATTCAAGTGGTTTTCGACCTTCTCTCTACACACGGCGCAGGTATCCTTGGTGGTGACTCTGAATTTGCAGTCGACTCGCTTTCGCTTGCGAGACTTTTCCACACTATGTTGAGAGAGTTTGACCACCCAAGAGTGCAAGCTGTTGTCGCCGAAGGCTTGTGCAAACTCTTCCTTGCTGACTTGATGGAGGACTTTGGCAAAGATGAAGTTGCAGAAGATGACGAGGAAGTTGATTACGAGGGCTCACTCTTACGTGCTCTTCTTATTGCCTACTTCCATCCGCTCAACGCCCAGAACCAGGAGCTCAAGCAGATCTTGGCTTTCTGTGTTCCAGTCTACTCATTCAGTCACCCCAAGCACCAAGCCAAGATAAGCAGTGTTAGTGGCGACTGCTTCTACGAGATGTTCAGCATTGATAGCAAATTTAACACTTTCGAGAAGGGCATGACACCAAGCACGGTTCTTCAGCAGTACATCTATTGGAGTGACCCACGAGAAATTGTCAATGTTGGAGAGGAGGACTACAAGAAAAGTGCAGCGCATCTTTGGCAAGTGATGAAGTTTTTGGAGATTGTGGAGCAGGACTCCCCTAAGGCGATCAAAAAGCTTATCATTACGAATTTGCCCAAGTTGTCCTTGCATAAGGAAATCGGCGCTCCGCTACTCAGAGGCTTAAAGGAGGCTATCAGCGACACGAAAGATAGAATCGAGACCAACAAGAATGATCCAGAATTCAATCTTGACGCTCCTACCGAGAGAGTTTTTGAGAAGTTCAGAGTTACGGTGGACGAACTAGTGGAGGCTGCTGAAGCTGATGAAGCCGAGGAACGAGCCAGACTACCAATGATGAAATCACGTAGTCCCTCCATACCCCGCGAGTCTTCCTTCAACGGCAATAATGAAGTTCCGGATGCCGAAGGGGAAAATGCTGCTAAACGAGACGAGGATCCCCAGGGTCCCCAGGAACGAGAGGGTCCTGCAAGTGAAGAAGAGGCAGAAAAAGAGGCAGAAAAAGAAAAGGCACAAGAAAAAGAGCTAGCGGAAATCGACCAGTTGCTTGATGAGGAGGAAAATGTCGACTACGATATTGGAAACTGATCGCTTCAACCAAGTATGCTGGACCATAGCTTCACTGAAATTCAGGCCCATATTCCGTTTTCGGATTTATCACAGTTTATCGCACGGGCAACAGTGACACGTTGACAACGCTCATGCAGTGCTACAAATCTTATCAAAACAATTCCAAACGTGTGTCTTATTCTAGACAGAATGGCATGAAATGGCAGGGCTCGCATAGTATACGAGATGCGTCTAACGCAGCGCTAAACGAGGGTACGATGGTACTTTCGCGACGCCAGAAAAAAAAAAAAAAAAAATGCTACATGCGCGTTTATATAAACGCACAAGCCAGCCGAATTTCCAAAAGTCGGATTTTCTAGTTCAACACTAAATCATGTCTGTGCCTTTGGCTGAAAAAAACCACGAGAGAGACCAGGAGTTTGCCAAGGCTTTGCACGGCAACTCTTACACCAAGACCGGTTTGGGCGCCCTCATGTCCAAGTCCAAGGATGCCGCTGACGTTGCCAACAACGGTTACTTCAAGCACTGGGACGGTGGTGTGACCGAGGATGACGAGAAGAAGAGATTGGGCGACTACTCCCAGTTGACCTCCCACTACTACAACTTGGTCACTGACTTCTACGAGTACGGTTGGGGTTCTTCTTTCCACTTTTCCCGTTACTACAAGGGTGAGGCCTTCAGACAGGCCACCGCCAGACACGAGCACTACTTGGCCCACAAGATGAACCTTAACGAGGACATGAAGGTCTTGGATGTCGGCTGTGGTGTTGGTGGTCCCGGTAGAGAGATCTGCAGATTCACCGACTGTACCATTGTCG